AATTTTGCATTATTTTCTCCATCTTCAAAGCATTTAGAGTTCACCCCCCCCCCCCCCCCAAACCCATTTTTTTCCCTGCATCTTGCTCTTAATTATCTCTTCGTGACAATCTCTCTGTGAATTTGTGGACGAATGGTATGTCACTCTGACAAAAACAGAGATGAAAGCACGAAAGGTTGGAACAAGAAAGCAAGATTTAGGAATGAAAGCTTGCAATAATCATGATAGAGAGTGAGACTGTCATGTTAGAGAGAGTCCAGGAGAGAAATAGACTTGGAATTGTTCCTGTTTGAAAAGGTTCTATTATTATAAATTAGATAATCAGTAATAATATCATATTTATTATTGTGAACAAGCAGATCAGTTTTCTCGTTATTTATACTTCTTTCTGAATAGACCTGCAAATATTTGTAGTTCTATTATCCTCAGAATATTAGTCAGTAAATACATACTGAATATTAGTATGGCTTGACACTATATCAGGGTTATGTTTGTATACACAACTTAGAGCTTGCGAGGTACACAACATCCATACATGGCGTGAATCTGTTGGTGTAGGTGTTCACTTTTGAAATCCTATTTGAAATTGATATGCTAAATGGTTGGAAGAGATATTTTTCTATTGGAGGAAATATATCATTGTTGAAGTCAACCTCTTTTATATATACATACATATACACACACATACATATATATAGGTGGTGAAGTGCGAGTCATGCTTGCACGCACCTTGACTATTCCGCTGTACCTGCTACCTCTTACTAACACAAGTACCGGTTTACTCTGCCCACCAAGGCTTAGAAAAATGGAAAGAAATTCACTAGTTTTTTTTTCCTCTATTAAGATATGAATCCTGATCTCCCATGACTTTCGCCAACACTCCTTAAATTTCCTCACTCCTTTGTTTGCTTATTGAAGAGCAGTGTTTTAGCAGGGTTACTATATTGATTACGTTGTTGGTAATGGGTTATAGGATGTGGTGTGATGGGTCTATCTTGAAGGATGCATTCTCATTTCTCACAAGCGGGTGGCTTGGTAACATTATAAAGATGCTATGATGACAGATTATTTTATATGAGATGATTAGGGGTCAGATGGAACATAAGCTTCTGAGGGCTATCCAACTGAAAACGTTGTATTCATGTTGCTTCTCTAAGGAGTATGGAAAGAGCATGGACAGCTTCCTACTACATTAGTACATTGTAGTTTCAAGTTACGTCTCAAAATAAATAATAAAAAGAGTTTTCATTCTCCTTTTCTGATCTGGAAGAGTTTTCTTTCCTTTATACCTTTGGTGTAAAAAGAGAATCCAGAGCCTTTGCCAGATTCTTGGAAGGATCCAAAGTTGGAAACAGCCAAAAAATCTGATGTTGGATTAGATCGAGAAGAAGGAACTAAATCTTGAACATCTTTTTCATATCATCTTTTATTATTTTCAATTAATTATTTATGGTACATCGACCTCTTCACCACTTTGCTTGGGGATCTCCACCATGGCTATATGATGGAGTATTACAAAGAGAATCCATCAACCGTTTCCGGTTTCCCTTTCTCTATAAGTTTCTATTTTTGTTTCTTTTCCTTTTTTATTACTCACCTTCTCACCCATGACTATCTAATATCACAAGAAATCCTTTCCCCTTCTACTTCATATTTTCTTCACTTTCTCTGTAAGTTTCTATTTTCTGTTAACTTTCTTCAGTTTCTTTGTGTTGATTGAATTTTTGGGGTTTAAATTTTGGTCGTCCTGGTCTTGCTTTTCTGAAGCTCAGAATATTTTCGGTATTTCCTTGCAAATGGAGTTTTGATTTTAGTATCATAGTTCAACTAGAATTACCTAGTGTAGATAATACATTTTTGTTTAGCCTCCTTGCGCCCACGTCCCGCGTTCTCCATTCACTGTATGAGTGTTCAAACTCCTAAAATTATGTCATTTAAATTGGTATCTTAAACCTGTGTTTTAACTATATTGTACTTTGTTTTGTGATGTTTGAATATTTCTTCTCTCAGATTTCTTTTTGTGGTTGTTAAGTGTGACATTTTGGTTAAAAGAAACACTATAGTGAGATGACATGCATTTTTGTTACGAGCAAGGGTACAGCAAGTCTTGATTTTAGGATAGTTTATGCGGTTTGATAATGCAGTTTGATAAATAGTTTACAATGTACAAAGTCGACAAATATCGAACTAGGCTACTATTTTGTATATTTAGATGTCTCTGAGTCACTGTTTAAAGATTAAAATAGTTCTTGATTCATTTTCAGGCCAACCTCCTTTGTTGCACTACAATGAGTGATTTCGTAATCCCTGTTCTTCCCCGTGAAATCATCGTCGAAATCCTCTTAAAGGTGCCCTCGAAGTTCCTGTTGAAATTCAGGTGCGTTTCAAAATCATGGCTTCAACTAATCTCTAGCCCTGAATTTGTAAACGCTCATCTGAAATTAACAGTGAATGACAAAGAATGCAGCCCCCATAGGGGTATATTTCAAGACTCGGAAGGAAATTTCAAGTTACGTTCTCTCC